AAAAAAAAAAAAATCGAACGTAAAACAACAACAGATGACACAAAATTCAAGAGGTCTTTCCTTTTAGTCCGGTGCTCGACTGACTCTGAGCTTTTGTGCTGCATTTCAAAGCACTGTCCATTTAGAGGTGGTGATTTTAATGTTTTGTGATATAAATGTTTTGCCTTTTATTTTATTTTCTGTTGGCTTTGCTGACACACTACCTCGGAGAGGTGGGCGCCAACAAGCAGCGCTGCTTGTTCACAATTACAGCTGGTAATGCCTTGCTGCGGAATCACAGTGGCCACCCTCTGATTTCCCCCCAGATCGCCCCACTAAGTACATGGCTTTATTTTGAGCCACAAAACCCCCTTCAGCATTGTTATCTACGCTTTCACCACTAGCCTAGCTGACACAGCTAACAGTGCTAACATAGTTAACAATGCTAAAGGGGCTTGCAGCTCAAAATGAAGCCACTTAATCAATGGGGCGACCTGGGGAGAGACAAGGGGGTGGGCACAATGTTTCCACAGCAACACCGTTGGGTTAGGATGGCGTTACTAGCAGTACCTGCCGAATGAATGGCGCCGCTAGCTAGCTCCCATCAGACCCAGGTGGTGCGCAGTGCAGAAAACTGAATAGTTGCAATATTAATCTATTGACAAACATGCCTTACTGGTCAAAAATATTCTTGAAGATTAACCGATAAACGGTTAACAGTCGGTGAGTTGCTCACCAGCTGCGCTTGCTGTCGAAGAAGTGGACGAGGAAGAGTTTCTCTGCGGACCTGAACTGCATCCGCTCTCCGGCTCTGAGAACGTCCGGCGGCGGCTGGGGAAGCTCCACCCCGTTGTGCTGACACCCCGTCTTCCGCGCTTTGGGGTCCATGATCTGTGATGGCCGGGGAAAAGAAGAAGAAAAAAAAAAAAAAAAAACAGAGCGAGATGGAGACTGAGTGAAGCTGCCTCCTCACAGTAACAGTGTGGAGTAATTCCTGGCAGCCGCACAGAAGAAGCCCGCAGTCAGAGACACAAGCATGCAAGGCTGAGTCGAGCCGGAAACGCTCTGAGCGAAGCGGCCGACTCCACACACACCAAGCAGTCCATGATCGGCCAGCCGGAAGCTCCCGCATGGCTGTGAGCACAAATCACGAGCTACAGCACGCACGATGGCAGAGGGGCAGATGGGTAATGAGACACAGAGGGGACCAACACGCACTCACCAGGGCGGGGTAGGAGGGATATCCACTACATTTAGCCCAAACTAGTTTAAGAGGCTCCAGAACAAATGGAGAAGCAGCGGAGGGCTTCCACACCTCTACAGGAACAACGATAAGCAAGTTATGAAGTATTCAATGCAACAGACACAGAGCACAAGCAGTCTGAACACACAACCAAGGACACACACACACACACTGTCAAACACTCACACACGTTTTTTAAAGATCACCTTTAAAAAGCAGTTGAAGAGATTCCTGATGAGTCATAAATAGATTTAAGGCTATTCAGACTGATGCAAGGTTTACAGAGTTGTTTATGCTGAGAACAAAATGTAGAAGTGAAAATGTCCTGACTGATCCTCAGAGAATATTTTTATTGATTTTTCTTCCAGATTCTTGCAGATTATTTTTTTGCATTGAGAGATGACAGAGGAGAGGTAGACTCAGCAGACAGCGAGGTATGACATGCACCAACGCTCCTCAGGCTGGAACTGAACCCTCAACATCACGGTTATGTTGCATGTGCTGTAACCACTCGGCTACTGGCACACTACTGAGTGTGTAATGTAATGGACTCTATTTATTAACATAAAGCAGGCTGGTTAACATCACTCTGGTGGTGTTGCAGAGCGGCTCCACTTAAAGAGTAACTAAACCCCAAACCACTTTGTTCAGTTTCAGTTTTGGATATTCAGTATGGGGATGCATGATACTGGGCTTTATGCTGATATCAGGTATGCCGATATAGAACAACTCATTTGGCTGATACCTGATACCGATATCATCAAGTCTCTTCTTAGGTGAAATTAACATCATATTATTCATGCATACTCTTATCATGATGGCCCACCAGCAGATGAAGACATGAAATACAACTTTTCATGTCTGTAATATTCCGTCATTGTGTAAAGTAAGAAAAAGCGTGTTGGCCGATTCAGTTCATTTTAAAGCTGATATCAGCCGATAAGGATGACGTGCTGATGTTATCATGGATCCCTGATTTACTTCTTGACATTAGAGCGCAAAGTATTTGAATTCTACATGCTGCATTATAAATATGCAACTGCCTTCTACTGGTTGAAACCTGGCTACTGCAATCTTATTTTTCAGCCACTGAGGAGTGGCCCGGCATTTCATACCCCCTCCCAGCCCTGTCCCAGGCCCCCAGAAAGTGCGGCAGGCCTTGAAGCCAGTTTTCCTAGTGAAACAGTGAAATAACAACTCCTGAGTACGTCATGTGATGTCCTGCGGCCCAAAAATACTTTTATCCATTCACTTACATTGGGACAGAACGTCTGTGAATCGGTGGATAATTTTTTTTTAAATCTCACAACCCCCACAAAACAATTCATTCCATGAAGAGCCGCATGATTAAATAATTTAAAAGTTTGGATTTGGGTTTAGTTACTCTTTAATGATGAATCTTTCAGTGCTTATGTGAAAATTAGAGTGTGTGAAAAGATCAGACAGAGAGAGATTCAGTAAAACTCCCTCTCTTCTTAATATATCTCAGTACAGATCAGTGTCCAAAACGTTCAACTAGCAGCTTCTCATTTGTCGCTTTCACTTGTTTAAAATGATCGGCGACAGCAGATCGTCAGCTGTCGCTAATTAGTTAATTCAGTGAGTAACCAAACTGAACCGAGTGTTTATGTAGTTGCAACAAATCCAACAGAGTGAGACGTCGTCTCTCTTGTGGATCACGTCATGTTCATGTTGTCTATCTGTTATTATCTATCTGTTTGTTATTTGTTTTACATATTATGACTTATGTGTTTTTTAATGGCCTGAGGTCTTTTTAACATCATGCCGGAGGACTACAGTTGAAAAATAGCCTTTGGCTAACACCGGCACATTTACAGTAATGTTCATTAATGTGCACTGCCCTCTAAATAAATAAATAAATGTCAGGATTTGTTAAACTTTCATTCATGTATCAATAATTTAAGCTTCTAAATGTAACAGTGGATCTTCAGTGTTTGGTTTCAGGAGCTCCTGAGGACTACAGCGTGTCAGATTCAGCAGGTTATTTCAATCGTCGTGAGTTCTGATGCCGTGTATTTTGTATTTTAAGGTTCCAGCAGATGAGGCTGTTTAAAGAGACCAGCTGTGCACCAGTCAGATTTTAGTATGAATATGGTTTTAAGTTAAACTGCCACTTCATCTGAAAGACAAATGGTCTGGATACTGTTTGTTGAGAGGCCGTGACATGACTCTATAATTCACTGAACACACACACACAGAAAATAACGGACTTCACTTCCACCTTGTCCATCACAGGTTTCCTGTTTCTGGACTCTTTGTTCATTTATCACTTCCTTCACGGCTGACATCTGCAGCTTTGAGTCTCTGCTGACTTCATCGAGGAGCTCGGAGGCCCCTGGACCTCAGACTGAGAAGCAGTGAGGTGGGAGGAGCTGCTGATTTGGTAAGATTTTATTTTTTACTTCACTGCTCTTTGGGTGACACAGGTGGAACAGCAGTATGGGAAGGAAGGAATAAATAAAACAATGTATGCTTGCTTATAAACAGTATTAGTATAATAACATAGTTTTTATTAAGTTTAGTAAATCAGTAGACAGAGAGAAGAGCTGACCAATCAAAGCGTGCCATGCCGTTTCATGCACATTCATCAGATCTGAGCAGACGGACGTCGCTTTGCTCACCTGAAGAGATCTTGGCAGCTTTGGTGAACTCTCCGTTCTCGATGCAGGTCATCAGAGTGCTTTTGTCATCCACGGTGCTCCGTCGAGCCGCCGGCAGCCGTCCTTTACCGCTTTTCGACACAATGACGGTGCTGAAAGAGACGAGAGGAAAGGCGGGGCGTCTTTAACCACACTGGCTGCAGAGGAATTTCAAAATCAAAGTGGAAGGCTCTGCGTTGTGTTGCTGCCATCGTTACAAACAAATCAATCAAATAAAAAAATCAGGGTCCAAATCACAGGTAAAGACCTTCCAGTCTAGAGCAACATATTCATGAGGAATTATTTTTTCCTCCAACTTCTTTACACAGTTTTCTCCATCATGTCACTGTGAACCCAGATCAGACCTCAGCTATTAACTGGGTCAGTGATACGTAACTGCTGCTGACAGATATGATAAACTAAAAACTATTCAAATACATTCAAAGTCTGGAATGACTGAACTTTGTATTATCAGTCGACAGCATGACTCTGGGTGTTTCCTCCTGAACTCACCTCGTGCTGCAGAGGACGCTTCCACTGGAGGAGATGCTCGACTCAGAGGCACAGCGGCGGCGAGGCTCCAGCAGGCGGGGAGAAGGTGAGATTTCTTCCTCCTCCACCACAAAACCGTTCGCTATTCCTGAAGAACACCACAGGAAACATGTCACAGCGTAGTGTAGGGTTATAGTACTTAACCTTAACCACCATAAAGAACTTAAACATCAAAGTTTATGGGTTTTTTTCTGCTGTGATTTTGAAACATGACAGACAGTACCTGTACCGAGGCGTTTTATCGGCGACTCCTCATCATCATCCTCGCCGTCAGCGCTGCTGCTGCGTCTTCTCTTCTTCGGCAGGAGCAGTGTCTCCAGTCGAGGAATCACCACTGACAGGAAGGTTTTGGTGCCAAGGGGCGGCAGCGTCACAGCCGGTGCCTCTTGCGTCTTGGTCTTGAGTGGTTTCTGGGGGCTGGTGCTCTTGGACTTGCGGAAGAGGACGCTATTCCGTCGGTTGCAGGTGCCAGAGGCTTCTGTGTGGAGGTCGCCGTTGGGGAGCAGGGGGTCTGGGAGGTGCCCGTTGGGTGCGTCTGTGGGCGCTGAGGTAGATGTGTCAGTGTCGCCATCAAGCTCCATGGGAGTATGGTCCGTGCTGGATTTGACGGCTTTCAGAGGGGGCGGCTCTGAGTCGCTGTGCGAGGTTTCGAGCTGCGTCAGTGAGGTTAACAGCTCTAACGTTGGTGGGGGTAAAGGCTTCTCCTCCTGTGGTGTGCAGGGCTCTGCTGGGGGTTCAGGTAGTGCTATCTCCTCTGACTCTGCAGGGGTCGGGCTGGGCTCAGTCGCCACAGGCGGCTGCGTTTGGAGGGACTTCTTCAGGCTAATCTCGCTCCGAACCTCCATGATGGTCTTCTTGAGCAGTTTGAGCCTCTTGCTGCGGGACGGGCTGTGCTTCATGGCCGTGCTCAGGTCCAGCTTCTCCAGCAGCTCCTTCAGCTGATCCTCCAGTGGGGTCAGCTGGCGATAGGTGGGGGTCAGCAGCCGGTCCACTGAGAGACAGATGGTCACATGACATCATCAGTATTATCTCCATAACATCACTCCAGCACTTTTACAGATGATCTAATTAGGTTAAAAAGAGGACTACAAATATGGTGGGGGGACGACAACAAGCCTCAGGGTGGGGGCGTAAAATAACTCGACCATCCAAATATCCCAACACAGAGATTCAGTTGACAATGTGCGACACAAACATTGATAGACTTTCTGTCGACTTACCTTCCTCCCAGCTGAAGGGCGGCGGCGGCTCCAGTTTCGGGGCTTCGGGCAGATGAATCCCACCGGGGAAGTCAAAGCCAATTCTCTCAGCCTCCCTTCGGGCCCTGCGGAGGATGGCTCCTCCGTGGTCCTGCATCCGCTGACCTGCCCTGTAGAAAAACGTGTCCTTGGCGTTGTACTTCATGCAGTTGAAGATGATGAGGTTGAAGTCTGCCTCGAACTCCTCCAGGCTCCTGTAGTCATGAGCGTCGATGCGTTTCCTCATGGTGGAGAAGTCCATGGGGTTCTTGATGTGGTCCAGGTAGTCTGGAACCTGCAGGAGACAGAGAGGACACGTTTGAGGCCTCAGGTTTTCTGATTCACTTTTATTTAGGGCTGCACCTAACGATTATTTACACTGTCGATTAATAAATTAGTTGTTTAGTTGAGAAAATGCCAGAAAATGGTGAAAAGTGTCGATCAATTGGAAATCGGATTAGTTTTTAACCAATAATCAAACTGTCAATTAATTTCATAGTTGACAACTAATTAACTGTTCTACTCTACTTTCATTACAGCTAGCACTGTCAGCACTTCATTTGGCTGTTTCAAAATAAAGGTCTACCCCTGCCTTCACATTAAAACACATGCAGGAAGTGATGTGTCCAGGCAACAGTTCTGACAGTCAAATTAAGTGTTAACATTTGTTCCATATTTAAAACGTTTTCTAAACATTTTGGTCGATTTAGTAATTTTCTGGTATTCAAACGTAGATTTAGTTAGTAGTTAGTACCGGAACAAGTCGACCGTTATGGGACCACAGCAGCTTCACTTGATGGACAGGGAAGCAGATTGTTCAACAGAGTGAAATATTGTTGCTGACCTCTTTGACGCAGACGGGCTGAGCGAAGATACTGTACTGGTCCTTCTCCTGCAGCTGACTGAGCACGGCTCTCAGCAGGATGTTGAAGGGGGTCAGCTGGACCTCCAGCACCGACTGCTGCAGCTTCATCTGACGGGAGAACACACAGTCAGACAACTCTGTGCTGACACTAACCCACAGTTTCAATACATGTAAACAGCATCAGATATAACAGACAGGTTGGTGTGTGCTGTTTTGCATTAAGTGTTTATGGTGTGACTCTCCTACCTCCTCTCTCTTCAGCTTCTCCCTCTTCCTGATGAGCTCCAGGAGCAGGCGAGCTCGCTCCAGGTCGTGGCGGAGGCGGTGCCACTCCTTCAGCTGCTCCTTCAGCGCCTGGTTCGTCTCCATGCGGTCCTGCAAAAATCACAAACTTCAATTCAGCGCCAAGAATGAAATTAAAAGATAACACTCTGCTCTGAGCGTCAGCAGCTCTGACCTTTTGCTTGACTTTGGGCGGCTGAGGGTTGGCCTGCAACCGGCGGATCAGCGGCACGTTATTCCTTGACTGCCTCTTCTGCACCCAGTAGCTCAGCACCCGCTCAACGAACGCACGCTTCCTCTGAACTGCCACCTGGTTCAGGATGGTGTCAAAGCTGATGCACAGAGAAACCAAAGGAGGTATTAATCAAAAAATAATCATCATTTCTTTCAAACCTGAGCAGAAACACAACCTTCTATCTAACAAGCTTTGTGTTTTTTTTCTGTGTCTTTGTGTCTGTAACAGGTAGTAATCGGTTAAATCTCTGATCATCTGACTGCTTGTGTTTCCTGATCTGTCAGACCGTGTTACAGACGTTAACTTGGTGAGTACGATGTCATTACGACTGATGGAACACAAATGAGACCCAAGCTCTAATAAACCAGAATTAACCTTAACTGCAACTTATTAATGTAAAGTTATTCAACTGTCAAGGTTCTCTTACCTAGACTCTACTTAATGAACATACCATACATAAATTCATTAAAAAAAAATAATTAAAAAAATGGGGGGGGGGGGGGGGGGGGGGGGGGGGCCTGTGAAGACCACCAACAATCAGAAAGTTTATTCAGCTGAAGTTAAACTGAGAGAGAAAAACAGACTTGAGTCAACTGAGTATCGGCTAATAATTAATGTGAGTGATGCATTCTGGGAGTCCTGTTTGCCTGCCTACCTTGAAGCGGTGATACTGGGTCCAGAGTTGGTGGGGGTCTCAGGCTCTGGTTCTGGTTCGGGCTCGCCTCTCTTACTCTTCTTCTTGTGCCAGCCCTTGGCCCTGGACTTCCCCCTCTTTTCGGCCCTCTTGTGGCAGGCTCCGTTTTTCGGATGCGGCTCCTCGTAGATGTTGAGCGGCCGGCGGTCGCAGCCTTCAGGCGTGTGGCTGCAGCAGAAGGCGGTCTTTTTCACAGAGAAGGTGGTGGCGCCGGACGCCATCACCTCTTTGACGGGCTCCATCTTCATGTAGAGGCCGGCCTTCTGGGCGCAGCTGACATGGAAGGCAGTGTAACAGTTGATCTTGTCACACTGGATGCACGCTCCTGCGCCCTTCTCTTTACACAAATAGCAGGTGAGCTTCCAGCGGGCAGGTGGGATATTGCGGACGCCGTCAATGGGCTCGATGAAAACCGTGTCAGAGAAGCCGACCTCAGGCACCCACAGAGCACATGCTACATGCCCCCAGCGGTCATCGTCAGTCTTCTTCAGGGCTCCGCCTCTGTTGGGGCAGAAGACACACTGAGCGGGACGCGACGGACACTGCAGGCAGTGGCGGCATAGCCATTGGCCCTCAGGGATGTATGGCACGCCGTAGCACTCCTGATGCACGGCGATGTTGCAAGAGTCGCAGAAGAGGATGACATTACTGTCGGCTCCGTCTCCATCCATGCAGATGCAACAGACGGCGTCCTCGTCCACCAATGACTGCAGGTCGCTCTGACCCTGCGTGGCTGAGTACGACTCCTTCTCAAAGCGGTCCATGAGGAACTCAAACAAGTTGTGCGACACCTGGCTGACGCCCTCGCTCTTCCTCTTCTCATTGATGAGCTCCAGCCAGGCGTAGTCCTCCTCATCCATGTCGTACTCCACTTCCTCGTCCAGCTCCTCTGCCGTCCTCTCTGTGTATTTGTAATATGCCACCGGCCTCTTCGGCACCACCGGCAAGTTGTATTCAACCGTTCTAACCTTTGGCTCCAACAGGCCGCCGGTACTGCCGTGTGTGCCGCTGCTGCCGTGTGAGGCCATGAGCGCCGCATTCTTCTTCTGCTGGTTGTTTTTGAGGCGCACAGAGCGCACCAGGACCTGCTGGGGCTTCTCATTGTTCTCCTTGTTGCTGTTGCACTCCATAATCTCCTGCGCCGTGGGGTCGTCATCAGTGATGACATCCAGCTTGTCGTAGATGCTGAGCCGGTGCACGCGGCCGTCCACCTCCAGCTCCACTATCCGCTGAGCCTGTGCGTACGTCAGAGTCTCCCGGTTGGGCGAAGGCTTGATGGGAGACGAATCCCTCTTCAGCGCCGCAGGTCGGTGATGTCGACTTTTCTTCTTCATCTTGAAGCTGTACAGACCCTGAAAACCAGACAAATCAAACAACGTTGTTAATGACTCATTTATGTGACATTGAAGCAGCAACAAATACAATTTTTCATGTCATTAACTCTGTGAATCAACAGCCAGCACACAGAGCACTGTGTGTGCAGTAATGATTAACAGCCTTAACCCTCAATGAGGCACCGCAGGAACAATGATGGGCAGTTAATGTGTTTACACAAGTATGTCATCACCTCCTCCAGGGTTCAATCACAGACCACCAGAAACATGAAAATACCCAACTTTCTATCTGTGCGTGAAACATTTTAGTTCCAGTATTTAATATGTTCTGCAGGTCTATCCAACTATACCTTTATTTTTAATGCAATAATATCGTCTCACATGGTACAACTATGTCTCATACCTGACTCTGATTATAGAAATAACCTGACTGCACTGAGGCTGGGTAGTGTTTGAAAATGTTTGATATTTGTGCCACTGTGATACCAGATGTTCAGAACTGATGCTGAAACTATTTTCAATACTTTCGTTTGTGGGTTGTAAACATGTTTATTGTTAAGCTTGGCTAAATATCATATGGTGTGAAGTTAAGAGTTTCCTTATTTAAATCACAAACTCCTGGTTTTAAGACTCAAGGTGGGACCAAGCTCTCAATACTTGATATTTTTCAAAACTGAATGCTAAATACAAATTTCAGTCAGTATTCAAAAAGGTTTTGAGGTTCCATACCCACCGCTAAACAACAAACAAAACCATTAAAAATATATAATCAATATATTCCCCTATAATGGAAGTTAAGCCAGTTCGCCAACAGCACCTCTATATAGGTCATTCCATACCCGACCATGTAGGTCATGGTCAGTCATGGTATTAAACATCAATAACGTTTCAGTGTTGCCTCATCAAAATCAAAATCCTCAAATTTCAGAAGCTTGAAATATCCAATGTTTGGCTTTTTTTGCTTAAAATTTGACTTGCTTCAATTATCATTATAGCTGCCAATTATTTTTTTGTCAAAAAACATTTTTAATGAATCTGTTGATTGTTTCAGCTCTACAAACAGACGTGGCTTTATGTAGAGCAAAAACAATAAGCAGATTAATTGTGACGACGTCTGAGCTGGTATGACTCTTGCATTTAAGGTTTCACTTTTCCTGAGGTAGGATGGCAGTGTTAAGAACTTGCCTAAGGGTCCACACTGGATATATGTTGCCCCACCCTGACTGGGACTCAAACCCTGATCTTTCATGCCAAAATCATTAGTCTTAACTACTCTGTTTGTTTTCCGGCTCTTGCCTGCTCTCGTTTATGTTTTGCTCACTCTTTGGTTATCTGTATTTCTGTATCTGTATCCTCTCGTACATGTGTTATCTTTACTGTGTGTGAGTACACTGACAGTTAATGGAAACCATAGGGCATTCTGCATAATGGGAACTGTAACGTTTGGTATTTAGGGTATATTTTGAAGCTGATGCTTATGTGCTTTTGCAGGACTATTACTTGAATGACTGTTTAGCATGGTGGTAATGCTACTTTTAATTGTAGGGGAACTACGCCCATTTTCAAAATGTATACATTATTACTGTGGTCAAAGACACACCAAAAATATGAGGAAACATGATTAATTCTCCCCCAAATCCATTTGGGTGTTAAAAAGAAAACACATATACTGTGGGTCCACCAAATCAGTCCCCCATTCATTGTCTACGGAGCAGCTCCCGACTTTAAACCCTGTGATATCACAAGTTTGAGACTTTCTTCTCTGGTTTCTGGCTTTGAGAGAGGACAGATCATGTTCACAAATATTCAGGGATCTTTACAAGACCATGAAAAGAAATTGTTGGAATTCTTAAATTAGCTGGTGTTCTGCCTTTAAGTTAAAGATCTGAGTATATCTCAAAGCACTGACTGTATCCTCCTGTAATGTTACAAATTTTCTCTGAACTGTGTACAACAATATTGAGAGTAGGGTGAATCTAACAGTTATGTCTGTTACCAATTAATCTGATTATTTTCTCAATTGACTGGTCAATGAAAACTTAGAAAGCAGCTTTTTCAAAGGCCTGTTAAACAGTCCTGGTACCTGACATGACTTTAAATGTTTTGACTTGTCTAACCAACATTTTAGACCCCAAAATATTAAATTTACTGTAATATAAGACCAAGGAAAGTAGCAAATCCTGACATTTAAGAACCTGTTAGTATCACATTTTTGGCAGTTTTGCCTGAAAATAACTTACATGACTATTTGATTATCAAAATAGCTGCCAATTAATTTTCTATAGAACGAATAATCAGTTAGCTCATTGACTGATTGTTGCAGCTCTAGTTGAGAGCAACTGTAAACAAGATGTGTGCACGTCGAGAGGAGAAACAAGCTGCAGAGAATCGTGAACAAGGCCTCCAAAATCATAAGGAAGCTAATTAAGAAAAAGCATGTTGCTCAATTCTGATAGTTCATTTTAAAGCCGATATTGGTCAACACCAATGACATGCCTATATTATCCTGCATCCCTAAAGCAGAATTTATACTTCTGTGTTGAATCTACGCCATAGCTATGGCGTAAGCTCTGCGTCGATGTAGAGCCTTCTCCATAACTCACGCTGTAGCCTGACGTGCACCTCCCCAGTAATGTAACTACACGTCATGGCGACGCAGACCTCCTGTCTATTTTTGTAAGCTGAAACCATTTCCCTCAGTGGAAACAAAGCTTTTATTTACTTTAATTTCACAGGTTAGAAACAATTAATTGTGTAGATAATAAAGTCTCCACAAAATAGCATTTTAAGTCTTGTGTGTGATTTATCCTGTTTTCATATGAGCATATGAAATCTCTGCTTGTTGCTAGGCTAATTTATACTATGTAAAATGCCATTGGCTTGTTCTAATAACGTTAGCATGTTGTATTTGTTTGGAAAATGTGTTTAGTAGAAGACAGTTGTTTTGTCAGTGAACCTTGTGGGTTGTGATAGAGTCGAATTTTGTAACGTAACCTTTGTTAAATGTTGCTGTTGTCCCTGGCTTCATGTGAGGAGAGGAAATGTTTGCTAACCGCTAGGCTAATTTATACAATGTAAACTGCCATAGGCTTGTGCTAATAACATTAGCATGTTGAACTTGTGTGGAAAATGTGTCCAGATAAAGGCAAGTGTTTGTCTGTGAATGCTGCGAGTTATAGTGAAGCTGATTTGTGTACTTGTGTTTGAAATTGTCTCTATTAAGCCATGTTTAATGTGTGTTTAATGTGTGTTTTGAATCACCATACCTTACAGCACTTCACAGAAACCCTGCTGATGACTAGTGTTTTGGAGGTGCGACTGCAGAGTGACACAGGCTAGGGCGTAGGGTCTGCTGCACAAGTATAAATCCTGCTTAATAGTGATGTTAAGGTAATATATAAAGCTAGGATCCACACATAGGACAGTGACACAGGGTGATGCTCCTGATACTTTGCTGCAGCTCTTTGCACAGTAGGTCCATTGCATTTCATGGACACTGTGTGTACTGACTTGTATGTTGTGAGTTTTATTTTTCATTAATGTGTACTGCCAAAACTATTTATAAGGTTTTGTATTTCCACTTTTATGGCTTTATGTTGTCTTGTGTGTGTGTTTTCTTATGGGATGTGGTGAATGCACAGTTTTATGTGTCTTTATGTGTGTTATGGTGAAAACAAAGGAAATGTTTCACATCGTCAACAAACAAGTGTTCGTATTCCTTAATTGTTTCAAACCCTGCTTTGTTGTGCCACCAACACGACAACAAAATGCGACTCCAGCTGTAACCTGCAGTTCAGCTCGCAGCTTTAAGTGAAGCTCCGGTGTCTGTTTGTGCAGCTTTCATTCATGAGATCCTGTTTTCAGTTGGCTGCTGAATGGAGTTCCAGTAAAGGGGGCGGAAACAGACCGACTGAGAAAACGTTCACTGGATGAATGAAACAATGTACGGTGAGCAGCACACCTCCACACCGACCACAGCCAGCCTACGGTGGGCTCAGCTGGCCTGGCTGAAGCCGCTGAGAGCTGCTTGTTGTTGGGTATCGCTGGCCGACAGCAGCTGCAGCTCGGTTCTCTCTGTTGAACGGTGTCTGCTAGCCACCAGCTACCGTTAGCTTCAATTAACCGAACCACAACGTCGGTTTGTGTTATTAATCGACCCAGCTTTGACGTGATTTACCAAACACGGGTCTGATACAACAAAAGACGACCCGGCGGTGTGTTCCCATCACACGGCGGACTCTCCGGTGGCCGGTTAAACACATTAGGACACTCCGTCCACAAACCGGGCTAACGTTAGCTTGCTAGCATTACACCTAACTGACGGGGGGAGGAAATATGGCGACCAACACAACAAGAAACTGCCTCGATTGGAAAAGGTGACTTTTCCTCAGGGCAGCGTCGCCTGGTTTTGGATTTCAACCGGCCCAAACTGAAGGGGGCTGATATTAAATAGGCGAGGACAGAGTGGGGTTGAACTTACCTCGGTATTTTCACGAATTCAGCTTGTAAAAACGGCAGCAATGGCGGCGCGGCCTGCGGAGCGAAGCGGTAGTTAAATCCACATTCAGTCCGCTCATCCAACGGCGGCCGCGGCTCGCGCTGAACCGAGTCAAACCTGGTAGTGACCGACAGGTATCCAGGGCGACGGAGCCGGTTTCTGAGTGTTATTACGTTGATCAGGGTAATTACTGATCAATAAGGACTGTTTATTAGCAGTTAGAAGCGGCAGAGCTCAGCGGCTGCCCGAGCTTCTCTTCCCCCAACAACAATGCGGTTGTGTGAGTCCTTGCGTCATGACGTCACCGCGTACAAACGGGTGGGGGGGGGGGGGGGGGGGCATCGACAGTACAAGCAGCGGAGGAGGAAGTACTCAGAGCCTGAAGCACACTGCCCAAAACATGACGGGGACACTTAATAATCACAGTCTAACAGGAAGTCAGTTAAACTTCAGGGATATCAATGTGTCCATGTAGGAAGCACAAGTGATTGTCTTCTCTAGTTTGGTCTTCTGCTAGTGTCCTTGTCACTACTGGTAGCATGAGGCCGTACCTGCAGCCCAATCAGGTCACACAGGTAGTCCAGCTCCTCCAGGATGGCACAGGAGACCAGCCGTTACACCAGGAGAGCTGGACAGGGCCGTAGAAGGGCATCAACCCTGCAGCAGGACCGGTATCTGCTCCTTTGTGTGAGGAGGAACAGGAGGAGCACTGCCAGAGCCCTACAACATGACCTCCAGCAGGCTACTGGTGTGCATGTTTCTGACCACACTGTCAGAGGGCCCTGTGTTCCTTCTGGTGCAGAGGGCCCTGGGTTCCTCCTGGTACAGGACAAATGCCCGGCCTCATGTGTCCAGAGTGTGTAGGCAATTCCTGGATGATGAAGGCTTTGATGCCACTGACTGGCCCTCTCGTTCCCCCACACACAGGGGCCGTACACACTAGTAAGTCACAACTCCTTTATATACTATATACATTTGAGTCAATGTACTTTGTTCCATTCCACCCCTGAGTACAAGTCCTACTATTAGTAAAGCTGAGGGCCTTTCCAGTTTGGTACGTGCTGCTACATGCTTGACAATCTTTACGAAACCTGAGCCGAGAGATGTTCTTTAAAGAAGTTGAATAGCTGTTCATACGACGTTTAGAAGATATGGAAGCACACATGAGAGCTTTGATGGGATCAATGGCCTCTTAAAACCTGTTTTATTTTGTTTAATCCAGGCAGTTACATTTTGGTAAGAAAGAAAATGTACACATGATCAGTAGCTCAGCGGCCCCTCCACAACAAGCTTTGTTGGAAAAACACTGATTGTTTTCATGTGAAACTGCTGTATTCAGTGTTTTTAGCTGTTTAAATCAGCTGGTCTGTTTGTTTCAGAGAGAAAGAGATCTCTGCGGATAATTCAGCTCCTGATAAAAACCTCCTGAATAATGAAATTCTAACCAGGAGAAGTTTCAGCTGGTTGTAATCTCACTGCTCGATGCCACAAAATCTCCATAATTCTGATGCGCTGTTCCTTTAAACACCAGAGGGCGGCACAATGTGTGGTTTCATCTGTTTTTTATTATTTAAATAAAACTGGACACTGTTTACAGAAAAAGACAAAATTGAGAGTTCAATCACTTTTATAAAACAATTCCTGTCAACCACGATGTTCGTTTGCCTCCAAGAAATGACTTTTATTTTTAAAATATAAAAATGTTTGCAGTTCCTCAGCCTGATGGATGAAGAATCTGACACAAAATATTCCCCTTAAAATTAGGAAAAACTGAAAACACACTCCTCTTATTGGAAAACATCCAGTGCAGCGGTCGTCCAGAGCATGTTCAGTCTAGTTTAGCACCAAGACCAGAGACAAGTCTTACCTCTGCTCTGTACACACAGAAACTAAACTTATTTCCATCTTCTTATCGACAGAAAAGAAACTGCTGCTCTGTTCCTTTCAATGATAACTCTTTTCCTTTTCCACCAATCAGCAGCAGTCAGACAGATCAGGTGGACTCGGCCGGTGGATCCGTCTCGTCTTGACTCTGGTTGGGACGGTTGGACAGAGCGTCCTCTCTGGACAGCAGGTTGTTTTTGCGGAGGTGGCAGGCCTGCTGGTAGGGGGGGCGTATGGGCGGCTGCGTGGGGGGCGTGTACTGGTACTGTTTACCAGCGTCCAGCTGAAGAAAGAAAACCGTCGACAGGTGTGAGATCCCTTAAAATACCCTTAATTAATCCGTAATTTACCCCTAAAAACACACCAAACACCTTAATCTACACCAAGGGAATTGGAAGTCAGAAATCCTTTATTTTGTCCATTAATTTGAGGGACAAAACCCCGAAAAAAAAACACCTTAATTTAAAAAAAGTAGATTTTAACTTTTCCTTAATTCACACATTAATTAGAAGTATTTGACAAATATTGTTTTAAGGGATTCTTAAGTCCATTTCAGACATGGCTGCAGCATTTGGTGTTAATTAACAGATACATTATTAAATCATACATTAATATTTATTATAACAGATAAATTATTATAATTATTTAAATTATAGATAAAATAGATTTTTTTAATAGGCTATCTGCACAATTTTAAGGTTTTTTATTTTCACCTTAACTGAAAAATTAAGGTGTATTTAAAGTACTACTTAACGGTGGTAGTTGTGTTATTTGTTACATTTTGAGGGGTTTCTCCCCCTTAAAAACTGTAAAGTGTACAGATAATCCATCAAAAATACCTTAATATATTACAATCATTTTTTTTTTATTAATTAATTATCCCATTAAAATCCCATTAAATGCCTTAATTATATCATTTGTTAAATTTAGAGAATCTGTGAATTTTTAAATTACAAAAACTGGATTCAGTTTCATAGTGAAAATAAATAAAGCACAATAACCATAGCAGGAACAATCAAACTGAAAATGGAATAACTGGTAAAATTATTTTAATAAATACTGAACCAGACTTGTTTTACTGAAGAAAAAAAAAATTCTGTTGGTTGGATTTACTCAGTAAAGATAAACCCGTGTCTCCTCACCTGCAGAGGGTAGGTCCTGTCTGAGTCGAAGGCGCTGAGGTCACCACACGCCAGAAAGGGGACGATGACGCGGTTCGGACCCTCTAACTGGTTAAAGTCCACATCTGCAGGACAAAGACCAGAACGAACTGAGACCAGAACCAGGACATGCAGGTACACTAAAGACTGATCCAACAGAGACTAACGGTATGTAACCTCTGAAATAAGATATGACACATTCTTCCTTTTACAAATGAGAGTCAGAAGATATAAAACACACTGTTAATGCTGTATATAATGCAGGTAGTGTTGTGTCTCTGACATCAATGACTTTATGATTCTTCACTTTGTTTCAGCATTTGGCATTAAACATTAATTACCACATGTGGCCACAGGCGTCCCTGATCAGCAAGGTTACTTTAGCCAAAACAATATACACGCTGATATTATGTCTTAACCTCTCCCTTAGACGTCCACTTTAAAGTATTACTTTAAAAATAATAAGGATTACAAATCAAAGAGTTTATATATTTTTATGCCTCCGTGCCAGCGACAGCCATGACCAGAGGCATTATGTTTTCGGTTCGTCTCATTCTCGTGAACATGATATCTCAAGAACAGCTTAAGAGAATTTCTTCAAATTTGGCACAAACATCCACCTTGACTCAAAGATGCTCTGACCAGAGTTTGGTGGTCAAAGGTCAAGGTCACTGTGACCCCATCTGTCGCATTCTTGTACAGTAAATGCGATATTTCAAGAACACCTTTAGGATATTTCTTCAAATTTGGCACAAACATCCACTTTGACTCAACGATGAACTGATAAGGTTTTGGTGATCAAAGGTAAAAGTCATATGTGACCTTGTATCTGTTTCATTCTCATGAACACAGTATCTCAATAAGGCCTTAAGGGAATGTTCTCAAATTTGGCACAAACGTCCACTTTGACTCAGCAATGAACTGATTCGATTTTAGTGGTCAAAAGCTAAATTATTATAGCGAAATATCACACAAGTGTCTAACAGGATAAAATGACGAATCAATGACATTTTATATCCAAAAGGTCAAAGGTCAACTTCACTGTCACTGGGACAGAAGGGGAGACATCTGGTCAGATTCTGAATTGGTGACACTCCTCTTGGGTGTCCACCTTGAAACTGTGCTGATTGCACAGATCTTCTCTGCTGTCCAGTTGAAGATGTGTGAGAAGCATTCACGTTTTAGAATTTGTAGCTTCTTTGCAGCAGCATATTTGAGGCATCGTCAGCTGTCACGTCTACATATGAGTCTGGACAGACATGGATGTAAACTGTAACGTGACTGGTTTGCAGAGGCGTACAGTCGTGAGGCAGTAATTTTAGTTTATGCTTCTCTTACTCTTTTTCTAGAATATGACACACTTGTTTGCATGAATACAACAGAACTTTTGAAACATAAATATTAGTTAAGCAGAACCGTGTCAGTTGCCACATCTCAGGTGAACGGACTTGATGCTGCTTCTATGTTCCCTTGTGATTTTACTCTGTTGTGTTTTTCCTGATGCAGATCACATATATAAAAGAGCTCTGAGTTACCGTAGGAATGATCCAGCAGAGGGTTGGACATGTTGGGGACGTAACCTTCAGGAGGAGAGTAATTCTGACACACCACGAAGGCCTCTGCACACAGACACACACACAGATACAGTAAGTACAGTTTGTCAGCAGAGTTCATGCAAACACCACAAATTCAACACGATTAAATCAGTTTTTAGGATTATTTTGTCAAACATTCTGTGCAAAACAGTCTCAGGTGTATAAACAATCACTACAGCAGCTAGGGGCGGGGTTTGTCTCCCGTTTGAGCCGTGTGATTGGTCAGCGAGGGGGCTCACCGATGCTGGAGTTCCTGCTGCTGCGAGGCTTGGCGCAGGTCACACCACTGAAGAAGATCTTCAGCTGAGAGTACAGCAGGGTCACATCTTTACCTCTGAAGATCTGAGACACACAGGACAATGAGGGGTTCATACAGTCCCAAACAGTGTCCACGACCCACAATGCACCACAGCATGTAGTTGGTAGGTGGACTTTGTTTGCGTCAAACAGGCTAGCTGTTTCCCTTTGTTTCCACTCTTTGTGCTAAGCTACGCTAACAGGCTGCAGCTTCACATTTATCTCTGCATCAGAGGGGAGTTATTAATAAATCATGTGGACAACAGCTGGACTCACCTTGGCCACAAACGTCCCTCCAGGTTTGAGGACGTGAGTCGTGATGTTCAGA